TAGGCAGGCGGCGTGGAGGCAGCGGTTAGCATGCCGGGAGCTTGCCTCCTCTGTTTGGAGAGCAAACGGTGGATTTAAGCAGATCAACACTGGGGAGGAGGCATTTGCACAGAGTGGATTTAGCACCGGGCCGCAGATCACGGCCGGCTCGTGGCCCGACCCGGGAAAGGAGCAAGAAAGGGCGGCATGAGAGATCGCCCTGGGTTTGGGCATCCAGCCCTGTGCGCCGGCTAATCCTGCTACAGGGTGGCCGGCTCCGCATCACTGCCTGCTTGGAGCTCGCCTTTAAATCAAGCCAGGCACCTCTCACCATCTCTTCTGTCTGCGTGTGTCATCCTCTCTGTTTTAATCAATAATTCAGCCCGAGACAAGCCGTTCCCCGTTTAAACGCATTGAATCCAAAGGCTTCGTGTTGCTGTAGCAACACGGGGCTGCTCCGGGATGCCAGGAATGCAGACAATGTGGCTGGGTGACGTCCCCTCCCCGGCACCATGTGCCACGCTGGGTGCTGGGTCCGCTCCCCGGCATGGTGCCATGCTGGGTGCTGGAGCAGTGGCCACCTTTGGGGAGCCTGGGGGCTGGTCCCCCCCTAAGCCGTGGTGGCTGCAGTTCTGCGATGCCCCCGGCTCGGTGCTGGGTGTTTGCACCAGTGCCGGGTGCCCCATGGGACCGGTCCCTTGTCCCTAGCCCCGGTGTCAAAGCTCAGAGACCTGTTGAGCCCCGCGATTTCCACAGCTCACGCCTGTCAGGAGTCACGATGGCTGCAGCGGGAGCAATGCAGAATGTCAGCCCTTAAATGGGATTGTGGGGACAGTGGTGACAGCAGGATGGGGGGACACAGAGCCCGTGCAGGGGCTCCTCCAGGGCAGCTGCACAGCGCTGGGGCAGAGCCACCTGCCCCAGGCAGGAGAAAGACATCAGGACCCCGACCCCCGGCTCTGCCCCATACCCAGAGCGGGTCAGGGTGCCTGGGAGGCACCTCCAAACCCAGAACGGGGACTCCTTGCTTCCTTTCCTGGGTCTGCTCCTGGGCTTGCTCCGTGCCTCAGTTTACCCTTCTGTAGGAAAGGGGCCAGCGCTCATGTCTCTGCTCTGGGATGCCTGGCAGCTCTGGAGCCCTGCATCCCTGTGCCAAGGTGACTCCCTTTCCCTGGAGCCTCTGGCTCCAGCATCCAGCCAGAAAGGATTAAGGAAGGAAGAGAGAAAATAAACAAACACGTGGGGAAAACCCAAACAAACCCAGCCGCAGCTAATGAAGCAAACAGCCTCTATGCAAATCGCTGCCTGGCTTTAACCCATCCTCTCCGCGGCAAGGATGCAACCTGCTGGCATCAGCTTCGTTCTGCCCGGTGTGCGCTGCCTGTCCCCGGGTCTCTGCGGGGATTTAATGTGTTGAGATGAGAGTTTGGATGTCTTGCCTGGAATTGAAGGCTGCCGGTGAGGAAGGCGAAGTACCAAAATTAGTTATGATGGGCAGAAATTGAATTTTAATAGAGATGTCGGTGGCACAGAGCCAGCCTGCTCAGGCGGTGGGAAGGTAGTAATTAAAAGTTAACGAGTTTAGAAACAGAGTAATCCTTGGAGATGGGAGGGCTGGTGCTGATGGCCGAGGAGGCTCAGGGATGCTCCTGTCCATGCGAGGGCCAGGAATGGCTGTGGGTGCATCGGCAGTGTGGGTGAGGGATGTGGGATGCAGCCAGTCCCCCCAGCTCGGGGCTGGCATGTGTCCCCCTGGCGTGTCCCCACTCCGGGGGCAGGAGGGATCTTCCCCGGGGCCTGGCCGTGCCCGTGACAGGATGCACTGTGCTTTGCCGTTTTGTCCTCAGCATCCTCACCGTTCCTCCCCAAATCCTCTCCTGCAGCAGGGCATCCCACCGGCACCACTGCCTGCTATTGCCCTTGTGCATTTTACCCATTTTTCTGGGGGCTGTGGGCTGGGGTTTGCGGCCCCTCGGCCCCGTGCTCCCCGTTAGCTGCTCTGGTTCCTCCTCATCTGTTGGTCTGCCGAGCTCACGCCGCGTTTTAAGGGAAGGAGCCGCTCTCCCAGTTTGGCAGCGTGTTTCCATGGCAACCGCCCTTTCCTTCCCGCAGCGATTCAGCCGCCAGCTTGCCACCGGAGTGACTTGTTGATGTGCGGCGAAGGGCAGGTGGGGAACGGGCTCAGCAAGTCCCCGGCCCCGAGCCGGCGATCTGCGTGCAGGTGGAGCCGACCCCTCGGCAGCATCCCTGGGGATCGTGGGGGGACCGTGGACCAGCGATTGTGGGGGGACCGTGGACCAGTTTGGCTCCCTGTGCATGCGGAGCTGTTCTCCCTCAGGAGCATCCCTGGGGATCAAGTGTGATCAGGGACCACAGAGGGATTGGGGACCAGCCTGGCTCTGTGTGTGCGTGGAGCCATCCCCCCTTGGGAGCATCCCTGGGGACTGCGGGGGATTGGGGACCAGCCTGGCTCTTCTGTGTGCACATGGACCCGTCCCCCACCGGGAGCATCCCTGGGGACCGTGGGGGATCAGGGACCAGCCTGCCTTCACCCACTTGCTGCCTCCGTTGCCTGCCGCTGGCACGGGGTGCATGGAGAGAGCTCTCCCATGGGACCCCAGCTGCCTCCCACGCCTGGGGACCCCACAGCAAAACCCCATCCCCTCTGATGCCTGTTGTGACCTTTGTTAAGGTGACGGCAGGGCGGGTGGTGGAGGCTTGCCGGTGCGCTCCGCTCCCGTGCCCTGGCACGCCGGCACTGCGCTCTCCAGGGCCAGCTCTGTTTTTCTGTGCATAATCTCACCGGTGCCGGGCTCTCCTGCGAGCTCTCCGGAGCCTGACTTCTCGTACGAGGAATCGTAACATGCAAATCAGGCAGCTTGATGTCTTTAATGAAATCCTCCGAAGGAAGGCGCTTCTCTGGTGAATTGAGGATATTTATTTCTCATACAAGAAATTTAACATGCAGATTAGTTGGGTCTGGTAATCTATCACATGAGATTGTCCTATTAAGGGTTGCATTGAGTCCTGCTGCCTTCGGAAATTACCTTGCACATAGACTACCTCTGGACAGACTCCCATCCATAGAGATGCATCTTCTATTTACTAAATCAGCCCTCTTTCCTCTCCCCACATCCCTCTGCAGCTGGTGCGGGAGCCCAGCAGCTTCTAAAGGATCCCCCGCCTCTTCCCAAGAGCCCAGATCCTCTTTGCCGGGAGCTCGGGGCCTGGGAAAGTGTAATTACATCTCCGACACTTACTGGCTTCGCCACTGTGGTGCTCACCGCAGCAAAACAGCATTGGCACGACTGATCCTCCCGGCCCTGCGTGGGTTTCTCGGGCAAACTGCAGCCCCAAGACCCCGCAAGCCCCGGGGTTGGTTTCCAGCACGTGGTGCCTCTCTCTGCTCCCGTGCATGGGGAGGGTTGGCAGGAGCCGCCCCGCGTGGGCTCACCGAGGAGGGGCAGATTTGGGGCTGTTTTGACCCCCGCCTCGCTGGGTTGGGATGTTTTGGGGTACGTGTCCCCCAGGGATGCAGGGAACATGGCATGCTGCACACGTGGGACCCCACCAAGCCTTTATGGCCTTTTGAGGACTCCAGATGTTTGACACCTGTACTTCGTTCCCAAATTATGTAAAACGTGGAGCCAGGAGCCTTTCAAAAACACAGGCCTGGGGGCAAACGGGGCGGTTCACCCCCGCCTCCCTGCTGGTACCCCAACCTGTGACGCTGCTGGCTGGGAGCACGTCCCTTCTCTGGCTGGACCAGCTCTTTGCCAGCCCAGGTGTGAAGTGCAGCCTTCTCCCCTGGGGACCTAACTGCCATTCAATAATATAATTAATGGAAGCTGATGAACATCAGAGGGGTCACAGCCAGGCTAAGTGGGAGCCCTTCAGTGAGCTCCTGGTGCCCGGGGCTCCAG